ATTCTCGCCTATTGGCCGAGGTCTAATTTAAACTAGACCTCGGCCAATAGGCGAGAATAATTTATTTGTCAAACTTCTTTTTGACCCTATAATTTATTTTAATACGCCAGTTATATATTTATACATTTATTTCCAATAATGATAGGTTTGGTCCTCCATAAAACCTTGAGTCCAGTTAAGAAAAAAATGAAGCTGAATGGAAATTTGTTCTTTTAGTTCTTTTTTTTTTTTCAAAACCAACTGACAAACATTTCGATAACAAACAAAAGATTAACATTTCAGAAATGTTGGACAGATTCACTTGTGAAAACTTGACCTCCCTGGGCTCATAGAAAAGTTGATATTATGTTGGTTTAATCTGAACCAGAAAACCTAAACAAAATATCAAAAACTTTGTCTAAAGTTGTCAAAAAAATTAGTGGACATCACTGAGTTTTCCAGTCCAGTCTGGTTCAAATTAGGTTATATTCTAAGCTTATTGTCCACTTTTTTAACATTTAAAGATGAAGCTTTTATTCTTCGATTCCATGAATCGAAGTTAATTCCTTTTCTAAAACTCAAAACGTTGAATCCACTGCTGTTTAACAAGAAAATCCCCTTGTTTAACCTGAGATAATAATTTCAAATAACAAATTTTTCAGCCAGTTTGATGATATAAATATTTTCCCCAGCTTTGTATGATTTGATTTTGTTTGTGTTGCAGGAAAACAAGAGGACGATCAAAGCTCCGAGTCTATAAAGTGAGAGGCTGATCAACATTGTTTTAATATTTGCACCTATATAAAGTAGAATTACTGAAGTTTGAGTCAAGGTTGAAGATTCGGTGCAGAAGTAGAGATTTGTGCAAACATGAACTCGACGGTTAAAAGAACAGTTTTTGGACTCGTGGGGATGTTTTCTGCTTTCAGACCTCAGGATGGTTTCAGTGCTTTGTTGAGGCGTCACGGCGGCTCCAGGAGGAACTCTCTCCTGCGCTGGAGCCAAAGTCGTACCAAAGGTTACAAGGTTAGCTTGTCAGCGCTCCGGCTACGTTTAAAACTTACAGAAATGTAGTCAAACTACCTCAAAACCTTTTACTTTTTTGCTCCAGAATATTGAAATCACTAATTTCAGCACCTCCTGGGAGGACGGTTTGGCGTTCTGTGCTGTTTATCACACATATTTACCCACTCACATCCCTTATGATGACCTCAGTCCAGCTGACAAGGTAAAACTGCAACAATATGTAGAAATCCACCAACTAAAGGATAAATGTCGGGTGTCCTCATGGTTGTAGATAAAATCTGACTGGTTGCATTTGTTTCTGTCAGGAACACAAGCTTACAAGTTGATGGATAAATGAACAAATAAATGCACCCTTTTTATTCAACAATTGACTTTTTTAAATAGATTTTTTTTAAATGAAATAATAAATTCACCAAGTGTTTTGAGTTGTTGAACTTGTTTCGACAGGAGGGAAACTTGGACCTTGCTTTTAAGACAGGAGAGTCTGTGGGGATCCCAGCCAGTCTGGTGAGAAGTTTTACTTTGTAAACCAGAGGTTCTCAAACTGGGGTCTGTGAAAGTTATCTTAGGGGTCCTCAAAAATTCACTAAATTATTAAGGATTTTTTATTTAAAAAAATGCATGAAGAACATTGAACTAATAAACATAATAAACTAAATAAAATCTATATTCCCATAGCATTTAGGGGTTGAAACACAATAAATTATCTTTTAAAACAGCATGGAGTTTATGAGGGGCTCCCTGGAATTGTTTTTGCCATTGTAAGGGGTCCCCAAATCCAAAAGGTTTGAGAACCCCTGTTGTAAACCACTTCAGATGTTTTAGATGATGAAACATGGTGGGTGATGTGCATTTCTTCAAAGAAAGCTAGATCTTTAATTGGGTCTTTATTGGGGATAGTTTGGAAAGAGTTTTAAAATAATTGCAACGTGTCAAACTTGAGCCTTTTTTATTATCGATCATAACTGGGTGTCTCAGAAGCAGATGTTAAAAGTTAAATCTATATTTTAAAAAAATCACTGAAGTCTGTTTGAGAATTATTATTTTTTCTTCTGCCAGACATCAGAGGAGATGCTGAAGGCGGACGGGCCGGACTGGCAGAGGGTGCTGGAATACGTCGAAAGCATTTTCCGTCACTTCGAGATGTGAAGTTTGTGATTCGTGTTGCTCTTTAATCTGTTGGGACTCGGGAGTGAAACGGCAGAATTCCTTTATCACCACCAGGGGGCGCATTTCACACGTCAGGATTTAAATGGGTCAGCAGTGTTGGACTTTGCCTTGATTTTATGTAAAATACAGCCTGCTCCCCCCCCCCCCCGGACTCCCAGTGGAACAAACACAGGAGCAGGTTTTATATTCTTACAGCAGCTAGGCTGGATCTGAACAGCTGCTGGGGAAACGATGTAGGACACCAGAACCTGTATAGCACCTGCTTTCATGTTCACCAGGTGCATTTTGTTCACTATATGCACTTCAAATGAATCTAAGGAGCACTTTAATACTGGTTATGTAGCATTTAAGGTGGAATGGTTTAGAATTTGGTTACCTTTTTTAATTTATTTTTATTCACTGTCCTGGTGTATTTCCCTGAAACTGCCACCCCAGAAAAGCCTGGGAGCAGAAGTGTGTTTAGGTTTTTAATAGCTGAAGTACTCGTTTTAATCCTCTATGCCATGTAGAAATGTAAATTAAATGTATGAAACTGTTTTCAAATGTATAAATTTAATGAATAAAGGATCTATATTGAAGCTGTTTTTTGTCTTTAAAAACAAATACATAGCATTTAATTTTACAGTAAAACATTTGACAGTATATAAAATTACATTAAAATGACAAAAAGGTTGTGAAATTATAAAGTGGTCATAGTGTCACATGTAACAAATAAATACATATAAAAACATAAGTTTGTAAAAATGTTTTAAACCTTGTACTTGGACCATTGTAGTGGTATAAAACTGAAATATTAAAATGAACAGGAGACTCAAAGCAGTAAACAGAAGCTTCTTGCAGCCGATCCTTCCTATGAAGCAGCAATGGTGCCCCCTATAGGTGGTGTAGACAGAGGTGGCAGCAGGAGAGACTTCAGTTTTGCAGACATGGCTGCGATTTCAGGGTCCTGGGTTTCATACATTTTCACCAGTCTGGCAAATTTAAGGACGCCTGTCAGGGAGGAGCAATCGTCGGGTTACAACATCTCTAACTGGGTTTGATTCGTGAACTTTTCCTGCGACGCACGTTTGTATATTAAGGTGGTGGTGAAATCACGAAGCTCACCTTCTCCCTCGTTGTTGAAGCCGTAGGATTTGATCACCTCCTGCTGTATCTGGGTGGCGACGGGGAGCACGAGCTGCAGCATCTTGCCCATGTCGTTGCAGGCGCTCTCGCGCGCCTCGTCCATCCGTGCGGCGTTCTCCGGCACCGAGAAGGCCTGGATCACCTCGCTCAGCACCACTGTGGAACAAAACAAACTGCGGTTGCTCCGAGCGTTCATCTGCACAGGATGTGCGACACTAAGACCGTCTAAAAGAAAAACAAAACTTTCTTAGCAGCATCAGAATCGGTGACTTAATTCTGGACATGAGAAGTGATTAGAAAGATAAAGATTGAAATAGCGATTAGAAGTATATTAAATATACACCAACAAAACACAGGACCACACACCCAACATCTGTCCGCTCACCTGAAAAATAAATGGATAAATACATGGAGGGCATATATAAATATATACACATACCCATACATATATAAAGATATACATAAATACATGCCTACATTCATAAATATTGTCAGTATATACACACAGACATATATACACACTCAGTGACCAGTCAGAACCCCCGGATCAGAGCACCTGTTTGTGAGCAGTTGTGAACATGTGTGAATATACAAGATTTCTCCAATGGAATATTTAATAGTGACTGTGGAGGACCGAGACCCAACCCCCAAGACACGAGGCAGACATAGGGAAGACCAGAGTCCAAGGGCCCGAGAGGGATCCTGACCGCAGAGCCCCAAGGGGCACCCGCACGGGAAGATCCGCCCACCCCCCAGATCAGACCATAGGGGAGAACTGGGAGAGTCCCCCCAGCGACCACACACACAGTCCCCGGGTCCAGCAGCGACAAACTCATGGGCCCCACCGGCACCCGCCATACCAGAGCAGATCCAGGAAAGGGCACAGAGGTCCGGGTCCCCCAGGGCGCACCCCCCACCCCACCAGGCCAAAACCAGACAGGTCCAGAGGCCCCGAGCCCCAGCAGGCAGTCACCAGGCCAGGCCGGCACACATCCCAGTGCCCAGCCCCAGACTCCGGGAACCCCCAGCACGCCGGCGGCCAGCCGCACACCCCACCGGGGGGCCGAGTAGCAGCGGGCCCCCAGATAAACCAGCAGGAGGGGCAGCCCAGACCGCAGCCTGACAAATACCCAAACATACACAATCGCACCATCCCACCCTCATCCTCACCCCCACTCAATCAAAGACATACAAGGACGCCACATTCCACTCATACCCCCGATACACGCTCTATACCCCCCAGGTCCAGGACATGTACCCACCCCCTACAGGAGGCAGCGCACACCCGAACCCAGGAGGTAGACCCAATCATTCTGAGGTGGAGAGGAGTTGGTAGCCAAGGCCCGGCCCGGGCCGCACCAGGACGCCCGGCCAGCCCCCCGCTGCAGAGAAGCCACACCCATGACCACCCCACCACATCACCAACGACCAAGTGCACCCCCCCAGCTGTCCACCCCCTGGAACCCGGCAGCCACCCCGGCCAGGGGGCCACCCACAGGAACCAAGAGCCACACCTCAGGAGACCAAGCAGCACCAGGGAGGACGGAGAGCCAGCCCCGCCCCCGGCGACCATCCAAGCCCCGAGCCCACCCACAGCCCAGGACCGCCCCTGACAAATATTATTTTTAAAAGCAGGTTCTGTGTTGGTAATACTTGAAACTGACTGCAAAAGAATGTTGCATACAGCAAAACACTACAACTGTCATGTTGTACCACCTGTTTTTTCTTATACATCTTTAAACTTTCAAAATATACTCGTTGAGAAATTAAAGCACATCATTCAAATAGCAAAATTCAGAGATTTGAGAATTTCAAAAAGCTTTTCTCTGATCTTGTTTCACGAATTGTGATGGCTTGGAAAGAGTAAAACAAGCATGGGAAAAAATCTAAATATGTTCCTCTCACCTCTGGTTTGTTCAGCAGTCAGGGTGGGTTGTTGTGCTGGAGCTGAGGCCATGTCTGCTGAGAAAAACGACCAAAAAAGCAACTAAACAACAGCTAAGTTGTTACAAACAGCAAAAACTGCAATAAATGCGAGTTAATTCATCTGCTCTCTTGTAGGTGGAAAGATGGAACTAAACTTAATGCAGTATTTTCCATCCGTAAAAGTAAAAGCTAATATCAGCATAAATAAAAGTACAAAAACACACAGTGATACACCGAATTAAAATTATTCGTCGACACAGTTTGTATCACGAGATCGACTCTTTAGCTGAAAATGTCATCAAACACGAGTCGATAAACAAAAAAATAAAATAAATGTTTTAAAGAAAGACTAAACTTAAAGAATAGAATGTTATTTTCTTTTCTCTCACCACTGATGAAGGGACACCCAACCCAACTGTATCGAATTGTGAAAACGCCGTAAAGCGATACTTTACGACAGCACGACCTCCTGTTTTGCGGCAGACGCTGACGTAAAACGTAAACACGTCGCTCAGCTTCTAAACTGGTCAAATCTAACAAAAAAATGTATTTTAAGAGAAAGTTAGCGAGTAAAGCGACCGTTATTTTAGTACTTGATCATTATTGTTTATAATTTTAACTAAAAGTTGCGGCTGAAAAGGTAGGATATTTATTTTTTTAGCCACTGTTTGTCCACGTAGACCAGAATAAACTTCAGCAGCAGTGTGTCGATGGAGCAGAAGCTCGCTGAGTTTAGAGCCAGGCGACAGGTTGAAAAGGCGGTGAAAATGAGTGAAACTGCGGGTCTTCGGTGTCAAGAAGAGACCGCAGCAGAAACATCCGTTCAGCCTGACAGCAAAGAACCACACAAGACAGAAAACAAACCAACTGCTCCTCACGAGTCCCAAAACCTGGTAAGAAAACACATCAAACATGGGACTTAAATAAGAATGGTTAGAAATCAAAGTAAAGCCTATAAAAACATTAAAAATATTAAATTATCTGCTTTTTTTGCATTTTTATGTAAAGTTTTACACTTTGTAATCAGGATGAATTCATCCTGCTAGTTGGGAGCCATTGACTTTCACTGTTTATTTTTGTTTTTCTTCAGGAAAATAAAGACTGGCTGCTGGAAAGCACAGTGGGGAAATGGCTGGCTTCGCGACAACTCGTCATTTCAAACCTTCTTTTGCTCAAAGTGCTTCTGTGGCTGGTTCTTCTGGGTCTGTTTATTGAGCTGGAGTTCGGCCTGCCCTTCTTCGTCGTCTCTCTTTTTTACTGGCTGTATGAAGGTCTCCGCAGTCCAGCACCCCGGAAACCCGGAGAACTGAGCGCCTACTCCGTCTTCAACCCAGACTGTCAGCCTCTCCTGGGCTCCCTGACCGCTGAACAGTTGGAGGGCGAGATGGGTTACAGACCTCTGGCTAACAGATGATGTGTTTTGCAGTTTGCACGGTTCAAGTTGATGAATCAGTGTTGTTTAACATTATTCTTGTAACTTATGTTTACCACAATGAATTAAAACTGGCATGTGTATAAGTTGTTTCTGTGTCTTACAAATTATCTTTAAAAATAACCAAACTTTTAACGGCCATGTGGTTTTAAAGCTGTACATGGATTGCATTTGATAAGGGGATTTAAAAAACTGCGAAGAGAAAAGGCTGCTTGCCTTTCATCACTACATTTATACTTCAGTGTTCGAAGTCCTGGAATAAAACTGTGAACTCATCTAACCCTCTCCAAAAGAACATTTTTCAACTTTTTGACCAGTTTGAATGAATGATACTTTACTGAAGGGAAATTACACCTGTTATGATCACCTCAGTGTTCATAACAGATTACAGATTTTAAAACCAAGATGTAACTATTAAAACGTCCACAGATTTTAGTAATAAGGTTTAGTGAAACGTTTTGCCTTTCGTTAGATGTAAAATAAGGTTTTGCTCTCAAAAACATTTTCTGAAATTCTCATTGTGGAAAAAAAACGTGTATATTAAAAAGATGCTTTTGTAAAACTTCACACATAACTTTATGAATACAAATGAGTGTAAAATAAACGCTTTGGTGATCTTTATGAACCTTGTCTGTTCTTGGGCACTTTGAACCAAATCTGTGTTGTTGTTTTTTTTAGGCAAGATAGTTCACTGTACCATCTACTTCCGCATTAGTTAATTTGTCGCTGTTGCGCTTCCGCATTGGTTCAAATGCTGGTGTTGCGTTAATGCACATATTAGCCAATCTGGTTTCTGCTCACCTTTCACCTGCACAAATGAACCGCCTTAAGATTAGAAAAGCTACAACATTTTAACTTTCGTTGGCGACGTTTTAACATTTTTAGACGTCTTTTTAAGCAAAAGCCGTCCGAGTAAGTAGCTACACGGCTAGCTAACAATTTCTGTAGTTAACAACTTTGCTAGCCCGTTTTGGCTCAAAGGTTTGACACTTCTGTGACTACTCCTCTGTCATCGCCAGTAAGTATAATTAATCTATTTCAGATTATATGTTTGTCTATGTTATTTAATGCAATAACTTTGACATCCATCCGCATTAGCATTAAAGCTAATTTGTATTCTTTGAGAATGGGGATTAGCCTCTTGATTGAGGTAACGCAACTGTCCAGGAAAGGAGTCCAGGTAGAAGTTTTAGGAGTGATTTTGTGACAAAAAAGGTGGCAGCTAAAGTCAAAGGACTAGTTTTACAAGAGAGTAGTTAGACCAGCTCTGTATGGTTTGGGACAGGAGACTGAACCGGAAGTGGCAGAGATGAAGATGTTGAGATTCTCCTTGAGAATGAATAGGATTGATAAGATTATGAATGAGATGGTCAGAGGTACAGAACAAGGTGGACATGTCATGTTCAGAGTAGGGACAGTGGGTATATTTGTGGAAGAATATAGAGCTGTAGCTACCAGGAAAAATGACAGAAACAAGGTTGCAGTTTGAACCTGAGTGCTCCTCATGGACACCTTAAAGTTGTTACATGTCAATAGAAAGTGAAAATGTCAATCAAAATGACGTCTCATTTCGCTTTACTTCTTATCTTCCAGGAATCAACCAAAACAATGTCTGGGAATCCTGCGCTGGTTATGCGGCTGGTGGCGTCTGCTTATTCTGTGGCTGAAAAGGCCGGGGCCATCGTTAGGAAGGTGCTTCAAAGCGGAGAGCTTGGCATCGTGGAAAAGGTATGATTAAATGTCTCCAATCTAATAGAAAATCCTGGACAAATATTTAAGTGGAGGACAAAAAAAAATGAAACCCATTAGGACCTTTTCACAGACGGGAGCGAATGATCTGCAAACCATGGCGGACCGACTCGCACAGCAGAGCATTTGTGCGTCACTGTCCAGACGTTTCCCCAAAGTCACCATCATAGGAGAGGAGGTGAGTGAGTCTGTGCAACGTTGTTTTGACAGCTTGCAGTTACCAAATGTGGTCGACACAATGAACATGTTTTTAAATAACCATCGTGGCTGTGAGGAGACTGATCACCAGATTTTTTTTCTTACACAGGAGCTTCCAGCTGAAGAGGTCCAAGCAGATCTTATTGAGAACGGTCAGTCAGAGGAAATCCTGAAGAAGAGCTGTCCAGAGGAATATAAAGCACTAAAAGAAGAGGAGGTAACTGGGTTTATGACTGGATAAAGTCCTTCCTGTAAAAGTCAGTCCTCCCACAGTGAACTCTGATTGTGTTTGAATCTTAGCTTGTTGTGTGGGTTGATCCCCTCGATGGCACAAAGGAATATACTGAAGGTAAGTTTCTCTTCAGCTCTGTGAAACGTTCTGACTCACCCAGTTTAAAAACATTCAGCAGAACTAACATCTTAGCATAAATCTTCCTTTTTGGTCGCAATTTATCCTCCTGTCAGTTGGGTGTTTTCTGGTTCTTTCCTCAGCGATTCACTATCACTTTTATAGTTTTTCTTTTCTTCTTTGTGTATTCCTGCTGCTCTGCTCTCTCTTTGCTGACCTCAGCATCAAGGTGTCTCCATCTTCGAGCTGCAGCCCCGACACCACACAAAGGATCGGACACCTCCCAGACTCATACAGCTCTCTGTATGGGACGGCAACGATTAACTCTGGCAGTGTAGAACCATCATAATATGGCTGCATGAGAAATATTTGCTAATAAGAGTTGAGAGTATTCAAATTATTAATAATAATAATTAATTTAATAAATAATGTCCTGCTTTCTGACTTAAGGGCTCCTGGACAATGTGACGGTGCTTATCGGTATTGCATATGGAGGCAGAGCTATCGCAGGTGTCATCAACCAGCCGTTCTACAACTACCAGGTACAAACAGGGAACGCTTGATGCTGAAAGAGTTTTGCAATTTGTTGTAAAATAGCCAAAAAAGGGCAAAAAATAGCAAAAAAAAAAAAAGGCTAGCACAAAGAAGCAGAACCTATTTGTGGAATTAAGCAGCTGAAATAAATAGCTTAAATTAAAGAGATGAATTTAGCTGAAAAAGTCTAACATCTCAAAAATGGCTCAAAAGTAGCTTCAATTGCCGAAAAGGTTAAATTAGCAGAAAGAAGCTAACAGAAGCCAGGGTTATTATTAGGGGTGTAAGAAAATATCGATACACTGAAATATCGCGATATTTCATTTCCCGGTACTGTATCGATATTCTAAAGCCCTGTATCGATTTTTTTATTAAGATTTAAAATGTCAACTTTCCTGCCAGCCATTCATTTTATGTTGTAGTTCAGCCTCTGACCACTAGTTGGCAGCAGTGAGCCAGCCATTTGGCTCCTCTACCTCTTGAGCGCCAGAGAGTAAGAGAGCATTAGCATTGTAAGTAAACATTTTAGCTTCATGCTCCGATAGCTGAATGGTTTTTCTTTTTTCTTTTTTTTCCAGTAAGAGGTTTTTATTTAATAGAATTTTTGGACCAAAAATATTGCAATATATCGCCTTGTTTACAGTATCGAAATATATTGGGATATACCATATCGTGACCCCTGTCATGATATGTATCGTATCGCCAAATTCTTGCCAATACACAGCCCTAGTTATTATAGTTAACTAAATAACCAAAACTGAAATTGAAAAAACACACACTTTAGTGAACTAAAATAAATAAAAACTGTAATAAAATGAAAAAAACTATAACTAAAACTGTATAATTTTTTTTTACAAAACTGAAAGTATAGATAAAATATTCTTATGTCCTGATGCATCTCAGTAATCCAGGTAAAAAAATCAAAAGGAAAAAAAATTGTAAAGGTCCTTTGGACGGGTTCTTAAAGGTTCAAAAGAACCCGTCCAGAGGACCTATAGAATTTTTTTCCTTTAGAATATTCTTAGTTTTAGTGTTTGTCCGTTTATTTTGAGCCATGTGCATCGTTTTTTTTTAATTGACTAGTTTCACATTAGCTGTGGTCACACTTGTTTACAGTCTGCTGCTCAGCATCACCTGCCAAATGATGACGACAAAAGTTGGGAGAAAGCACAACGTCCACTTTGGGATTTCTTTGAATAAGACTGAGAAGAAAAAAAACAAGTATCTTGTAGTGGAAACAGGTGATAAAACAGGTGGAATACTTCTCAAAGGAAAAACTGCATGAATCAAACTCACACAAGGTGCTAACTATGACTATCTGACATGCTAGCTTCTCTCAGTAGCTCCTTCAAAAACAAACAAAAGGTAGCAGCAGGTTGTAGACAACTATTGTCATCGTCCTAAAATAATCACCAAGTTTTTAGTTGGAAAATTGAGTTAATTATTTTAGTAAGGTGTTGCTATAATGGACTGATTTAACTAGTGAACAAATAGCTGCTGGTTAGTTAACTCACAGGAACATCACAAGCTGAAGGATGCATTGATAAATATGTTTATTTAAACTATAAAAAAAACAATACTAGAACTAATAAAAACTAAACTAAAACTAAGCATTAAAAATGCAATAATAACTAATAAAAACTAGCAAATCCACTGTAAAAACCAATTAAAACTAAATGAATTGAAATAAGGAAGTCAAAACCAAATTTACCTCTGGGATCAATAAAGTATTTTTGAATTTGAATTAAATTTGAACAAAATAAAACTAAACTATAATGAAAAATCCAAAACTATTTTAACCTTGGTAGAAGTGCAAAAAAAATAATTAGCAGAATAACTGAAATGAGCAGAAAAAAGCTAAAATTTGCACAAAAAGTTTAAAAAAAGCAGAACCAGAACAAAAGGTATTTGTGTTCAAGATGGAGTCGAACCTTTTGTTTTTTTCTTTTCCTGGTTTTTTCTTTATTTATATATATATAAATGAAATGAATAATAAAAAAAGGGTATAAAGTGCAGGAAAGCTGTTTTTGAAGGATGTTGAAGATGGCTATTCGTTTTTATTGAGAACAAAAATGGCCAAAAAAGGGTTAAACATCTCAAAAAGTATAAATTTCTGAAATACCTAAAGTCATAGCAAGAATGCCCCGAAGCAGCTGAATGATTTGGTATATAAATAGTTGAAATGGGACAATAATTGCAGAATGCGTTAGGTACTGATAAGCTTTCACACAGCTAGCTGTCTGAAGCTCTCCTGATCCGCCCCACCCTTCCTCTCTCCAGCTCGGAGCAGGAGCCACTTTAGGAAGGACCATGTGGGGGATGCCCGGGTTGGGCGCCTTCGGATTCCAGCTACAGGAAGCCCCAGGTGACAAGCGAATTGTCACCACCACCCGTTCGCACAGCAACAAGGTGGTCATGGACTGCGTCGACGCCATGGAGCCTCACGAAGTTGTGAGAGTGGGCGGGGCTGGAAACAAGGTGAGGTGCACTGAGGAAGTGTTGGAGGTGAAAGAGCTCATTAACCGACTCTGCTGTTTGTAGATAATCCAGCTTGTGGAGGGGAAGGCTTCTGCGTATGTTTTCGCTAGTCCGGGCTGTAAGAAGTGGGACACCTGCGCTCCTGAGGCCCTCCTGCACGCTGTCGGGGGCAAGCACTGTTTTAAAATGAATCATTTTCATGTAGAAATGTGTTTCAATCAAAAAGCATTGATAAACATTTGATCTGCTCTCGTCCCAACAGGAAAACTCACCGACATGTATGGAAACCCCTACCGCTACGATGCAGATGTAAAGCACATGAACTCTGCTGGAGTTCTAGCTACGTTACGCAACCATGAATACTACATCAGCAGGGTGCCACAGTCCGTGCTGCAAGCCCTCGGGTCAGATTGAAGTCTGTCGTCACGTCTCTGTGGCGCAGAGGAACTTCAGAATCAATGCTCGTACGTTCCCAGAGTTTAAATCCTGTGTACTCATTTTATGCACGTTCAGATCAAAATGACATTTCATTGTCTCAACATTAATGTATGAAATCAAAGTTCAACAACACTTCCATTTATTCCACTTCTTAAAACGAACTTAAACCTTGAATTCTTTACAAATTGTTTCCAATATGAAGAGCAAGAAAACAGCGACCCAAAAGTCAGAACTGGAAACTAAAATACACTAAATGATGGAAATGTTTTACTCTAAGTGGGAACAATGCAACTTTATTTGCAGAGTGCCAACAAACAAAATACCACATTGACTTGTTTGATCTTTTTACACATGCAATGACTGAAAATACAATCGTTATGAACACATTTTAATTACAAGTCTTTATACTGTACTTAATCACTGCCTTTCCTAATAAAAAGCCACTTTGAGCATAATTTTGAATCCATTCTTCTTTGCACTGATTTAACCATTCCTATTTTTATATTTTTAGAGATTAGATACAAACTCAAGATGATCAGGAGCTGGTTTGGTTTTCATCCAGACTAAATTCCAACAACAGAAAAAAAAAATACTACAGTTTTTCATGAATAGAAGCTTTTTTGAAAAGAAATGCTTCAATAATCTGAGGCTGTAGGATGTAGAAAAAGTAATTGTTAGATTAGGAGGGAATAAAGCCTGGAGTTATGGTCCAACTTTAGAAGAAAAAAATAAAAATTTACATATTTTTTCTACTCCAGGTAGAAAAAAAAAACATTCTTGCATTGTGGAGAAGTCACAGCTCAAGTTTAGATGCCTTTTCTGCTGAGTTACATATGCTTGGAGTTTTTCTTGATTTTTACTATTAATTTCAAGTGTCTGACATCAAATTTTATAATAAATGAAAACTAAACAAGCAGAAGATCTGATTTGACATTGGCTGCAACAGCATGCTTTCAGTAAAATCACACTGGAAATGTTTTAATCTGAAGCATGAATAAAGCATTCAGATTCCACAAGAGGTTAGATAAATAGTCTCGAAAAGGCTGAGTAAGAAACAAGGGTGAGTCAGTGCAAAAATGTACACAAAAAATAAGAAGTTTATAAAAACTACTCAGAGAAAGCAAGAAAATAAGAAAAAAAAAACATAAAAACAACACTCCACGTGGGTTTATTTACACAGAAATGAAGTGAGAGAAAAAACTGGAGCGTTTGAGGCAACCTGAAAAAAACAAACAAAAAAAAAAAGAGACAAGGCCAGGACCAGCTGCTTCACCTCTTCTTAGGTGCCTGAGTGGTGCGAGGCGGTGTGACGGGACGCCCCGAGTTCACCCCTCCGTACTGATACTTTGCTTTTTTCTCTGATGGCTTCAGAATCTAAAAAATAAAGAAACATTTTGTTACAGATAAACTCAGCTGCCACACATTAGCAGAATTCACGTGCCAACAAATTAACAACCTGAAAGGAGCACATGAGGGACTCGTCCACACTCATCATGCCTCCTGCGTTGTCAAACTCTCCGCAGTAGTTGGGGGCAGAAAACAGCGTCACCAGCTGTCGCTTCGCAAAGAACTCGTAACCATCTTCAACAACCTGTGAGAGAGAGAGACGAGTCAAAACATTTAAACACGTGTGTTGGGTTTTTGTACCCATCCATTAAAACACGCTAACATCAGCAACAGTAAAGTGACGCTGAGTTGATCTCAGTCACCTGATGGGCCCGGCAGATGAGGTCCAGGTCGTGGCGATTGAGGAACTTGCTGACCACGTCGGCCCCGAAGGTGAAGGAGACCCCGCGGTCATTTTCCCCCCAACCCTGCACGTCCTTGTCTGGGTCTGACCACAGCAAGTCACACAGCAAACCTGGAACAGAAGGTTAGGCAGTATAAACACATCACCTAGCATTAATAAATCAACAAGTGTAGCTGCTAAACACTTAGGCCCTGTTTACACAAGACCCATCTCTGGAAATGCTCATGTGTACTGGGGCAAATATACACACAAAAAAATACATACATAAAAAAATACACAATTACGTGAAACTGCTGCAGAGTTGTCAGATAAAAATAAAAGCACAACAACAGATCGACAGCTTGAGCTGAAACACGTTTATTTCTTGATATTTTATCTTAGTTTAAATGATACTTGGAGTAAATATTTCAAGTTTTAAAGTATTTATAGAAGATAGTTGGATTTATTTAATTATTTGCTGCTGCTTTTTATGATTTTAGCCTTCATTACTACTGTCATGTTTGTAACTAAGCAGTCAAGACTAAATCTTTTATTGCCTAAATGGGAGCCCTGCATCAACCTAATAACTGTCTTAAAAAATATGAATTTTTTTGTTACAATTAACAAGTGAACTCTACAAAACTAAATTTTTATATTACCCATTTTACTTGTTAAATTATTATTATTGTAATTGTTAGTTTAGAGGAAACTTTTGCAGTGTGCCAGGTGTTTATGCATGTGCGCCATCACAGCTGCAGGGTGCTTCTCACCTAAAACTCCGCCTTGCTTTGTTCAACTGGCTCTGCAGATAGTTTTTTTTTTCTTAAACTTTATTTAGCTCAGCCAGCATTGACAACGCTCTGCGTGAAGTAAACGGCTCCGCGACACGGTGAGGGACGCAGACGACACAATGAATCAGTAATGAAATTTGTTGCCAACGCCTTTAATAATCGATTTGTATCAATTGAATCGATTCGTTGTTGAAGCCCTAAATAATACAAGATTGTTTCTTTTCAGTCCATAAAAGGTGTAACTGACCTGTGTCTGGCACATCCGTTGGTCTCATTATACGTCGAATTTGTTCCATGGACTGCAGATCAGGTGAGAGGCCTAAAGGTTTGGACACAACAGAAACATTAGAAACAGAATATGGCAAACATATGCCAAATAGCATCTGACACGTCATTAGCTCGGATTTTTTTTTTAACAAATAATGCCGTGATAACAATAAAGAAATAAAATCAAAACCAATTGAAAGTTCTGTCAGGTAGTAAATAAGTGGCAACAGAGACGCTTCACAAACCTCCATGACAGCAGAAGATTTTCTCGTCAATGATTGCAGCGATTGGCAGACAATTAAAGCAATCTGTGAACGTCTTCCAGAGCTTTATGTTGAACCGACGCTTGCCTGGAGAATCGTGAAAGACACAAAATCTTTAAAAATTTCATAAATACTTTTTGTAAACTTTAGATTTGGTGGAAAACAAATTTTAAATCACAGGTGATGGTTTATGTGCTGTCCAAACCACAGAGTCATCATATAATTTAAAATGCTCAGTTTTTTCATTTTGTGATGTGAAGACAAAAAAAATAATATCATAAAGTAAGAGGAAAAATCATTTTTATCAGTTTGTTAAAATCAAATCCAAGTTTCAAGGCCTTTACTTAATTTCTAAGTCACACAGAGCTGAGACGTACGCAGTGTTTTCCAACTTACATTCATCATAAAAGCCATAAATGCGATTGATGGAAGCACACTCATGGTTCCCCCTGAGCAGAAAGAAATTTTCTGGGTATTTGATCTTGTAGGCGAGCAGCAGACAGATCGTTTCCAGCGATTGCTTCCCTCTGTCCACGTAATCGCCCAGGAAGAGATAATTAGCTTCCGGAGGGAAGCCTCCATACTCGAAAAGCCTCAGCAGGTCTGTGTACTGTCCATGAATATCACCTGGAAATACATTTTAAATAGAACTTATATTTACATCACAGGTATCACAAGACTGAAAAGTGGTTTATATCAGAGGTTCTTAACCTTTTTTGACCTCGGGGCCCAATTTGTTGAACATAAAGTGGCCCCAGGCCCAGTCATATTACCAATGTATGGATCAAAATGATAATTATTCTAAAATCTTGGTTTAATTTTTATTGTATTTACATCATAACTAAATTAAATACACTTACAGTTTAAAAG